GACATTATCCTAACCTTGGCCATTGAGGTTTAAATGATCCTGAATTTTTGTGGAATTTTCATAATTTTAGTTGATATTCTGTTTGATACTATATCTTTATTGTTATTATTATAATTTAAGCATCTTTACTGAATAGTAATTCCATTGTGATCTTACTTAACAAGTCGATATTAATTTAAAAAACACTAATATTGTTATTGACTACTAATCTAGAATATTCTATGTATATAAACATATATGTATATATAACTGCAGAGGCAGAAGACGAAATTATCGTAAAGGATATTTTTTGCTCGATTATTTTGTGCTTTATAGATACCACACTGCTAGTAAAGCTTCCTTACCAAGTCTTTTATCTTTTATCGTTGCCATACAACGAAAAAAGAATTTTCTGTGCCAATAGTACTGGGTCTAATAAATTCAATCGCTTGAAGTTGCAACAATTCTTAAGATGTGTACTGGTAGAATACTCTTCAACCAAGCAGATAGTCCGGGGTTAGATTCCAACCCGACACCTAGTAAGCCTGAAAAGAGGAGAGGTTGCATGTTAGTCTAGCATCCTCAGCCCGTAGGAATAACACCCCAGGTTAATGAAAATTCAAAGCTTCAAGCCTGAAACCCTAATGTTCCCCTAGGAACAATCCTTTCTTGATTATGACTTTGTATACGTCAATACTCATCAGTGAGAAGACTCTCTTATTCTCTTCTCAAAAACATTGAATGTAATGTAGTTCGACACCAAGTAATACACAAGGTCACAGTCTCAATGCGAGTTTACCGGTTCTCAAAAAGGGGGAGAACACAGATCTTCAACTGTCTCATCTTACTTTTTGTTAAAGGTACCTTCATATTTAACAGATTGGGTGAAAACCGATAGAGTCGACTGACTGAAAGTCTTCACATCTACAATGAATACAAAATAACTTATGAGGAAGCATGGGAACAACGACGTGTGAATCAATTTAAGGTTAGAATACTGATGTTTCAGCTGAAGACAGAGGAGAGATTTGTCGATATTATCCGTTATAAGTTTGAGATTAAGAAAATGACTATATAAGCTGAATAATAATACAACAAAGTATATAATAAAAAGACTTTTCTTTTCGACAATTCATTTTCATAAGCTGTACAATAGTCGTAATTATATTTAACAAAGAATTCACAAAACCAATCAGATACTGGTACAATTTTTCCTTGAAAAATGTTTTAAGTAATGTAAGATGCAATCAAGAAGGGGTGACTAATTGGAAATTAGAAAAAGAGGCAGAAGCTGACATGACAAATTAAGTGTGAGGAGATGAATAATCGGTATGTTTGTGTAGACTGGACAAGAACTAATGGAAAGGCGATAAAATGCTTTTATAAAATCCGTATGAAGACGCAATGTTATTAACAAACAATAATAGAGTGATAATAAAATAAGGATGATTAGAATAACAATAATAATAGTGAACTTACATAATGAAAGTTAGCAAAATCATAGTGTATTTGAATGCCTAGGTCCGGCTTCAGATCCCGAATAGCCAGTGATTCAGCTATGTACCGATGGCGTATTCGAAGTTTCTTTATAATAATGAGTGACTTTGTGTAGCACTGTGTAATGTTCATGTGGTGCGGGGTGCTCGATTTCCAAAGTTGACAAGGTTTCCGAAGGTGGAGTTGCTAATATTCATCTTTTCTCCTCTGGCCAACCAAGCTGGACTATGTTCAGAATAGGCTTGCCAGCTTGAAGTTGCGTAAGGCCGATAAACTTTGCTCCACACGAAAAAGTAAGCTGATAAGTACACAGTGAGTTGGCCTAGAGGGGTATGTTTTCCTTAACGGTAGACTGGATAAATTGTGTGGTGGAGGACGTGATGCGTAAGGTGCCTGCTTGAAATGTTTTCTTCAGACATTTAGACAGGCGGTTTCTGAGAATTTCTGCTTCGATGTCACCTTTGAATTCCAGATTCATGCAGAGAGTCTTCTCAGGAACAGGTGTGATTATTGGTGACATATGATTTTCTTTCATGTTTTTGTCGACGAAACTTGGTGGATATCCGTTCTCTAGTAGGGTTACACGTAATGAATTTAACTCCTTCTCTAACGTGTCCTCCGGACAGATTTTTCTAATCCTTGAACATAAGGTATGTACTAGGTTTTGCTTTCGGATCAGTAGGACGAAGTTCTGGAAGTTGATGAACTGTCTCGTCCATGTTGGCTTGTGATATACTGATCTTTGGATCGTGCAATCTTGTCTTCTAGTGGGTAAGTACATCAAGGAGTGGAAATGCCATGTTTGATTCACGTTCTAAGTTGAATTTTATCGATGGGTATGCCTAGTTGAAAGTATTGTGGAGATACTCTAAATCAACATTTTCATCACAGATTATAAACGTGTCACCTACGTATCTCTTATATAGGTGCAGTTGAGATTTTCCTTATTTTATTACCATTCTATTACTGTTTATTAATAACATTGCGTTTTCATAAAGATTTTATATAAAAACACTCTATCGCCTTTCCAATGGTTGTTGTCCACTCTAGATGACTATATTGACTAGTCATTCCCTCACACTTATTACATCATGCCAACTTCTGCCTCCTTTCTAACTTCCAACTAGTCACCCCTTTGTAGATTGCAGCTGACATTACGTATTATACTTTTTGGGGACAAATGTTACCAGTATCTGATTTGTCTTGTTGATTCTTTGTTAAATTTAATAATGATTGTACAGCTTATGAAAATGAATTGTCGAAAAGAAAGTTTTCTCCTCTGTTTGCGTTTTTTTCTTATGACTCAATATGGGAATATTCTGTTCAAAAAAGCATATGCTTTAAGTGCTAATAAGTCAAATTCTCTAGTCAGTCTAGGTAGCACTATGTTTTAGCCTGCCACTTATCATCTTAAACTGAAGGGGATTCCCTGTCTGAAGTGACCGTATGGTAACTAATTTGGGATCCCGATGAAGGACTACTTAAAAACTAGAAACTTCAAGGTTATTCACTCACAGTTAATAGGTCACGACACTTGCATGAGTGTTCCCACGGGTGAGAAAACACAGTAGATAGACCAATAAGGTGAACGACAGGTAAATTACAGCGGTTCGACCGATAAAATACAAGTTCATCTTATAAGAATTGTATTCTATTTGATTAGCAGACTGCCAGTAGAAATTCCATCTAGGTTAAGATCGAATATTCCAAAAAGAAAACTAGCCGTAGATGTCTCCTATCTATCCAAATACAATTTTAATTCATTCGCTGTCCAAAGATAACCAACCACAGGATAATTTATGCACCATGTTACTCAAGACAGGAGCTGATCACTAACTGTGGAAATCTACAGCCCTCAGAAAAAAAATAACATCAGAATTTTCTATATTAGTGTCAACTGAGCGCCTTTATGTGGTTCAGAGACTTGGCGCATTTGCTATTGGAAGAATTTCCAATCGGTTACAAACTTTCAACAACAGCCACCCCCGCTCGGTATTTCAGACCACATGGCTATTCGGAATAAGAGTAAGCACCAAAGATCTCTGACAGGAAGCGAATCAACTGAGAACATTCTGACCATTACATATACAGAAGGAAATAGAAATGGCTTAGAAATACGCTGAGGAAAAATTCATACACCAGGTCTTTCAGTGAAACTCAAATTAGAAGGTTAAAAGAAGCGTCATGTAGCTACCATGCAAAACAGATTGAAATGAAGACGTGTCGGTGAAACCCTATGGTCCATCCTAATAGCAAGGGATGAATAATAGCTATAATTTAATTCATTTCAAAAACGTAGATATCCCACTCCTAGCTTTATATAAGGTACGTCAGGTATTTTTGCGTATGAATTACACGAAGAGTGCATTCCATTCATGATGTATTTGAACAAAAATTTGACCAAAGAGCAGCTGGAGGAATTGATGAAATTATGAATTACCTTTGTTCGCTGAGGACGTTGATTCAGTTGCGAAGCTTTCGTAGTCCTCCTTCTAGAAAACATCTTCAGCTGAGGTTATAGTATGGAATGAACTTATTAAAATTCTCCATGAATGATAAAAGTACATCTCTTGGTAAATTCTGTTGTGATTGGTAAATACAATATGAACGCACACAGACCAAATACTCAAAACATAAAAGAACTGTGTGCAGACATTGTTTAAAAGAGCTCAAACACAACACTGTAGCACTACTGCAGTGTTGAAGAGAATAGAGGAAAAAATACCTACTCACCATCTTCAAAATAATGGACTTCCCCACCATTTCATCAAAAAGTGTTTAAATTCGAGTCATAACACCAATAATAAGCCATCATCGAAGATCACATGAAAATTCATTCTACCATTTGTTTGAAAAAATATCTCTGAAATAACGGCTAGAATATTAAGACCGTTTGAAATAGATATAGCATACAAGCCAGCCAGCCAGCCAATACAATCACTTCATTCGATATTGTGCAAACCAAAAGACCCACTCAACAGGACAAGAAGATAAAATTATTACCATTTACAAAATACATTGCATGCATGGATAACAATAAACATTATATCACTCAAAGTGGATGTCCACTTCCAATCCGAATCCGAAAAGGCGAATTGGCTGTAAAATCACATGATATTTATTCTTTCATATCAATGCATGTGGATGATTATGGACACGAATTTGATTGGGATTATTTAGAAATTTTAAACAGGAAAAACACCAGGCAATAACGCCAGGGAATTTCTATCAACCTGGTACTCAAGTGAATCAGTGACTAACAAGCACATTACCCCTATAGACCAAATTCTCCAGCTAATAAAAAGTCAATCATCACATGACAAGAAATTTCAAATTCCAAGTGAATAATAAAAATGATCATGACAGTAGTTGTCAGTAGGGAGATACAATTATATCACCATTTACAGGGAATTTAAATCAGTTCATTTTATACTAAAACCGGTGCTGAAGCAATGTTGTTTAGAAGGAGAGGGACGATACAAGCTTCGCAACCATCTGAGAAAACGCAATTAATTAAAAATCACCCAACTGAGTTACAAATCTTCTAAATTATTGGTGAGATTTTCGTAAAAATGGTGAGTTATATTAATATATGTATAAAACTTGAGCACTGTGGTATTACGTAATTCCATAGCAATTTGTTTATTAGATATATCACACAGTCAGTGAAACAGTATTATTATTTACTGGATGATGTTTTGAACTCAATTTATTGTTTATAATCATATCAATAATAATCACAGGACTCTGAAACTTGAGTTTTATAGTTTTCTTTGTCCTTTCCTATTTGTCATTTGGGTTGTAGAAATTTCCAGATATCTGGGACAGGTGTTGAATCATTCCTATTCCACGTATTTGCAGTTGATTCGATAAACCAACAAACTCAATTAGAAACA